CAAAAATTAACAAAGAGTCAGAACAAAGCCAAATTAAGTTTGCACACGTTTTAGAAGGTGCACTAACGATTCCAAGCATTTAAAACAGTTTTTGAACATTTTAAGACACTTTTAAAATTGCAAAAATGGACATCGTTAAGCAAAACAGGGGACCCAAAATGCGAAGCATGGTCCCAAAATCGCCCATAGGAAACTTCTTTAAACAATGCGGAAATTTTTTTAAAAAACCTATCGTTAAGCGAATACATCATTAAACGAAGCAATCGCTAAGCGAGGCACCACTGTATAGTATTGAAGAGATTGTTGATATTGACAAATCATTAAACGGCATTGATTCAGATTTTGTGTAGCTTTTAAGAATCTCTGTTTCCTTTTTTCAATATCATGTTCCTAACCTTACAGAAATTCTTCTTTTAACAGTAACTTTGTGGTATACTTCTGTACATAAAGCAGCACGCGTTATATATACACACAAATGTACATATGCACTTCAAAGAGTGGAAAACAGATTCCACCCTCATCTAAGTAAGTTGTAGCAGTTAATTTAAAGCAAATACAGTGGTGCCTCGCTAGACGATTGCCTCACAAAATGAGGAATTCGCTAGACAATGACTTTTTTGAGCATTGTGCTTCACAAAACGATTGTTCCAATGGGCAATTCTGGGCAATTTTCACTGGACGATGTTTGGGTCCTTGCCCTGCAAGACAGTTTTTTTCACTTTTTCCCCCCCAATTGGAACACATTAGTTACATAAGACCTACTTTTTTATCCAAGAAAGTGGGGGAGAAAGTGTATGCTGCTGGCTTTCCAGGAAAAACAGCAGCATACACTTTCTCTCCCACTTTCTTGGGATAAAAAAGTAGATCTTACGTAATTAATATGTTTCAATCGGGGGGGGGGAACCATCTTGCAAACCATCACCAATGGGGCTATGGATGCAAATTTAAATGGTAGAGGATGGTGAAAACAGCCAGGAACCAAAGGGTAAAGAGATTGTAAAATAAAAACAAAACAGAAATCACAAACATAATGCCCCCATTAACACAAATTATATAATTGAGTTCCCCACATTTGTGGAAATCACAGGGGTCAACAGCACACCCAAAGTGCAATGGATCAGCCTCCCCCTGGGAAAACCATTTTCTAACATGGTATTTCCCCTAAAAGGTATGAGTTGGAATAGCTCTTGCATCTCCTACCCCCTCTGTCCCCTGACCCCCC